ATATATATATATATATATATATATATATATATATATATATATATATATATATATATATATATATATCGCGTATATATACTGTTATGATGCGTGTGTGCGTCGTGTTCTTAACAGCTTAAAATTGTGGGCAAGGACATCCACCGGCACCACGACTTGATAATGGTGTTGCGCAAGTACAGAGAAGATTCGGACTTCGCCGATTTAATTGATTATACGCAAGTCACCAAACTGCCAGCAGACGTCTCCATCTCTGGGTTCCCGATGATCCTCAGAACTGCATTCGAAGGTTTCGCTTTCTGTTTCAGCAAAAATCTGTATATCCGCCCCGACAAGAAGGGAGATGGACAATCAAGACGAACAGACGGAACTGGTAAGAGGGCAACAGTACCCGTAACCGTGTAATATATATATATATATATATATATATATATATATATATATATATATATATATATATATATATATATATATACGGTCGGCCGTTGCGGCTGTATGTGCATCTGTCCGTTGTTTTTGTATGCAAGTTTCAGTGTTGCGTTTCGTCGTTTGTATGGTGCATGCATTTGCGGTGTTGGTGGTTTGTGGCTTTTAGGAGTGTTGACAATGAACGATTTCTACAACACGTACGTGCGGCAGTACCAGCACAACCAATTTCAGTATTGGCTGCTTCTCATGATGGCGAGCGTAATGAAACGCGTCGTATCAAGCAGGTGCGGAGAAGCACAGTACAGAAACATGAATGGATGTGGAGTATAATACGATGCAACGTAGAGCACAACATTGCTGAATACAATTTACATCTCCGAATCATCTCGGGGTTGGGCCACTGCGTCGTAATATAGGTGCCTGCTGTGCGGTTCGTTGCATGTATGCTGCTGTGACTGCTGCTGCTTCTGTCGTTGCTTTTGCAGACCGCATGCGGGTTTTATGGTGTTGAAGTTCGACTCTGCACAAGCGCTGGGGCTGAACCGCGGGCGCGGCGGCGCCAATGAGTTGGACAAGGCGGCTATTGACTCGCTGCAGCGGCAGGTAGCGGCCAGCGTAGAGGGGAAGCTGGACCGCTCGCTACAGAGGTTTCAGAATTTTCAGTTTGTGCAGAGTCCGCTGATTGCGGCGACTTCGGCCATGCGACCCAACGTGTCGGTTACGGGATACTTGGAGCGCACCAAGGCCGGCAGCTTCGTCGACCACGGTATTTTCGGGATGGACATGGAAACGGACACCCTAGAAGAACTCAAAGAGCGCATGCAGCCCGGAAATCTGCTCGTCGATGTTTCGCTTGTGGACCCATGGAGCTCCAGGCCTGTCTCGGACTGGCCCGATCCACTGCAGCGCGACGTCCTTGCGCTGACTGCATACACTGCAACGCAGCTGCTGTGTGCTGAGCTTCAGTGGGACCCGTCGCTGGGAAACCTGGGCCACGTTGAAGTGGTGTACTCGGGCTTTGCAGATGTCTACGATTCAGCGGGGGGAGCGCAGCAGTCCAAGGCAAAGTTCGACCCCGACGTACAGGTGTTGCTGCTGCGGGACAACCAGAAGTTTGTGGAGGACGGACTAGAAGAAGGAAGCAAGGAGAAGATCACCAATCTCATGGCCCAGGAGCCGCTGCAGTGGGGACAGAAACGTGTGATAGACGCCGAAAGAATCAAGTGGAAAGGCGTAGCCAGGCTGCTGCGCGGTGGCCAGCTCTACAGAAAGAGTGCCTTTGGAACCGGGTTACCCCCCGCGCTCCGCAGAAACGCAGAAGATCTTCTGAAACCCAATGTTGTGCTGATTCATATCGTTATCCAGGGCTTGGGAGATATGACTCCCGATACACTCGGCTTTGATATGACAGCAAGCGAAATGGCCAGTCGCCTCGTGCGAAGATGCAGAGGCATCTATGATCCTGTCCTCCTCAAATCCGTCACTCCTTTTGTCAAGGTGAGGGGGGGACAAACCAGTTCAGGACCAATCTACTTCATCCGTAGGGGATGGGCAGCTACTGATCCGGAGTGCATTCATGTACTAAAATGTCCTCATAGAGTGGTCTGTTATTCTTTTGATATATCCGTTGTCATGTATGAATTAAGTCGAACGGTGTTTTTTATTTTTGTTGTTTATTTTGCTCAGGAGTTGCAGGTGAAGAACGAGCGGCAGTGCGTTGGGGACATGCCTAAGTGGGTGGTGTTGGTATCTACTCTTGGCGTGGCTCTTTTCTTTATAATTTTGATTGCGCTGTTGCTGTACCACGACAAGATAAAGTTGCCCTGGTGGATAATGTGCATTTGCAGCAGCCGAGCCCCTTGGGAGGAGTCGTCTGCTGCCTCCAGCATGTCCAATGGTTTCGGGCCTGAGGTACTCGAGAAGCAAAGCAACTCGACGCGCGATATAATTGCGTTTGCCCCTCCCTTGAAAGAAATGACATCAAGTCTGTCATAAGTGGACAATCTAACAAACAAACATGCGCACTTTACATGCATGCAGATGCTTCGCCTTCCTGTCTCTATGGACAAGCAATTCTATGTTGGCACTGTCGCACGCATGTAGTGTTGTTCTAATAAAGGATTATTAAAGTATATCGTGGTATACACAAGAACTGGCAGGTGCCAGTTTGTTTGCGTATGCACACATTTTCCTCCCTCTTCGCCGCTAGCCGCACTGCACAGGACGGACGCAGAGGTGCTGCTAAGTCGCTTTGTCAAAGCACTTCGCCCTTTTTGGCCAATAAACGATGAAGAGTATACACATCTACCTGCAAAGGGGTGGATGATGCAGCTTTATAATGAACCCAGCAAAAACAAGGGGTCTGTTATAATGTATGATGCTCAATCTGCCTCAACGCACAACTCCCATGTTCCCGTGTTCGCCTGCCAAGGGCATTCCGGCGTGAGAGGGAGTTCTTTTTTTTTCTGACCACATCAGGGATTTTGTCTTTTTCTGCTACTTACATAGCTACCAATAAGCTGTCTCGAACTAGCACACGTGCTCACATCCAGGCTCCACTGGTGGTAATTAGTCAAATATGTAGGATGTGACCACCATTACGTCTATGGACAGCCGTACGCCACAATGAACAAGAACCCGTGGTGTACATACAACGATGGGGGGAGTGAACGGGTCAACGAACTATCCAGCATGACGATAGAGCGGCTCTAGTTATGAGTAGTGACGGTGTTACTACACTGGTAATACATGCTGTATCGAGGTAGGAATACTCGGCGGGGAGTGAACGGGTCAACGAACTATGCAGCCTAATGCTAGAGTGGCTCTAGTTATGACAAGCTCGTTACTACAGTGATAATACGTGCTGTATCGGGGCAGGAATACTCAGCCCCGAATTAACGAACATGAATATAAATAGGTGACCCGTTCAAGGGCGCAGAAATCAAAACATCAGTAGCCAAGCATCCAGTAGCCACGAACATTCAAGCGTGCATGAATTCAAAAAAAGTAATTGTTGGCGCCGAAGCGCCCCAAAAATTTGGTCAAGATGCATTGTAACGCGGCAGACACACGGCAATCTTTAGTAAAAGGCGAAAGATTGGTACGTGATGTGTCTGCCGCTGCATCATGCTAAATACTGTGGGGGATGGGCCCCACCCGCTGGCAGTTGGAACGGCGAATAGGGACATAACGGTCGGGCGCGAACTCCCACCTTTTGTTTTTAATTTCGATTTTTTAATGTTTCTTTGCAGTTCCAGCAATTATTACTGTATGAAAACTTGTTTTGACGTGCTAACTGTAAATACAAGGCCCGTTTCCCCTCTGCAGGCTCCCCACGGGGGCTCTTGATTCCTGTGAAACCCGTCAATGGAGACGATAATTTCAGCTTAATTACATTATTCCGTTGCATAAGTACCAAGAAAAGTAGCGCAATACCCACGTTTTTTACAACTAGACGCTTGAGTTATGCCGATCACCGGGGATTAGAGGGCATCACGTGCTGACGAGAGCCGGGGCGTTCTTCTGTCCGCAAATAATCAACTTCGGTTCGACATAGCTACGTATTATTTTTTATAGCGTATTATTTGAATAACGTATTATTTATAATAATAAATAGTTACGCATGCAAAAATATATAATATGCTTTCCTTCATGCCAAGGAAGTACATGTGGAGCGCAGTGGCGTAGCAGCCGGAGGGCGCGCGTTTCTCCGTTTTCGGCTTTCTGGATTTCCTCTCGTGTACTCTTGGGGCAATAACTTAAACCAAAGCATCACATAATTTAGTATTTATTGCGAGCTCTGTAGTCGGCCGCGTAGGTCCGGACTTATCGTGAAGACTCACAGAGACTCACAGAGAGACGGAGAAAGCGCCAGCTCCGACTGAGGGACAGCGCGTACAGAACAGCCCGGCGCGAACGAATTAATCCCTGCCAAGAAAACTTGGTAGGGTAGAGAAGGGATGTGCACGCAGGTGTGCTCATACACCAGATTTGCAGTCGAAGGGGCACACAAGTGTGCTTTTGCATCAGAGGAGCAGCCGGGATGACACATGTGTATGCTCGTACGTCAGATGAGCAGTTGATAGAGATAAGCGTGCTCATACATTGCGTGGAATGCGTTAGCTGAGCAGCCAAGAGGATACACAGCTGTGCTCATACGCCAGATGATCAGTTGAGAGACCTCGAACCAGGATGGGGATTGAGTGTGGATAAATGTCTCTCAGTTTCCTGTGCTTCAGCTAGCGGCATTTTCCAACTGGCGGGCAAAGGGAGAACAGGAAACAGTTAACCCCGCTTGCAGAAAGCAATGTGTATTGCTGCTGCGGTGCTAGATTCAGTGCTCATCTTGTGAAATCAGAAACAACTGCAATCTCTATACATATGCTGAGCTGTTGGGCATATTTCGTAACAGCAGAATATTTTTATCCCGGATATAGCTTTTTCCTAATATGCGTGTCTCGCTGTCTCTGCATGTCAAATTGCTTCAGCTAGTTTGTTGTTTCAACGGACAAAAGAAAGGGTGAAAACCTGGGGGATGCGATGAAACCGCCGTGAAAGCATACGTATCATCTACTGCATCCGGTGTACGATTTGTGAGCTTACATATAACATGGATACCGGGTGTACGATTTGTAAGCCTACATATAAAATGCATACCGGGCGCTTGGAGGCCCTACAAACAAAACATTTTATGCACACACGCGCCTACGCTTCGCACAGCGAGATGGGCATTGTCCTCCGCTTTGTACAGAAGCGCCGCAGACGTGGCAGTCCAATTTAAAGTATTGCATCCCGCTGCTCGAGTTTCTTTCCACAAATATTCAGTGTTGGTGAAGAAGACACAACTCTTGTCTTCCCTGTAACGAATCGTTCAGGATTCGGACTGGCGGTTCTGTGCAGCGGGAGGAGGTGAGGGTGGAGAATCTAGAGCCAACACAACCACCTCTCTGACATTTTTGGACAAGGAAGGTTCTGCGAGTATGCGCTTGAGCTGCTTCTCAATCAGCTGCTGCCGCACCTCATCATAGCGCCTCCAAGTGAGGAATATCTTCGCCCCTCGCGACGCAGCCACGGGGTTAATGCGATCGGCCTGCAACATAGCGCACATTCAACAGCCACACAGACACTCAACTTACTTCCGTTGCAGCCGTTGTCAACACCTTGGCTGCATCTGTCCATGCAAACTGCGCTGCTGCTGTATCTTCTTTGATGTACTGCGCATCGTCATCGAAAGATGTCGCAGGCAGCAACTGCTCCCACAACGAGCACCTCTAATGCACTGCCCCCCGCGCCGATTGCTCCGACTGCGTGCAGCCTGTATTTTCTGTTATGGCTGTGCATTGTGCCGTTAATCGCGAACAATGCTGTGTATGCGCGTGGGATACATGATGCACCCATGGATGCTCACCCGAAGCACTACGTCGGCGAGGAGTTCATATCCTTTTCCATCTTTTCTGTGGAAGTGGACGTGATTGTTGGAGCAAAACACATACACCAGAGACCGTAGCCTGTTGGGGTTCTTCAGAGAGAAGGCCGGATGCTGCAGTAAGGCGGCAACGCGCTCCACTTGGTCAGGCAGGTCTGAGAGCGCCTGCGCTTTGAACCACTTATCAACAACAAGAGGGTCTCCTGCAGAAGAAGAGGCAGCATAAAGTAGAAACGCTCAAGTGGAAAGTGCGAACACGCTGTTGTGCATGCAATAAGGGGTGCAATTTGCCCGTAGATCGCGGTTGTAAGTACGATTCCCGCTGCCACTCGGGCGACCTCGCACATTGGTGGTGCCTGCACTGCCAGGAAGTAGGTGTTGACCCCTGTTTCCTTCTGTTAAGTGGAACCGAACCTGCTGCGTCGTCGTAGAAGCGTGAGAATGCCTGTTCTCGTTGTTCACCGGGCAAACTACTAAGGGCGATAAGGCCGGCGTATTTGTCTGTCATGCATTTAGCATCTGTGAAGTGCGCAAAGGCCCTGTCCACTGCCTTCTCATCGCGCGCCGCCGAGAGGAAGTGCAACAACGTGTTCCTGAGTTTCCTTCTTCCCGTTGCCTCCTCAGTCACCTCTTCCTCCTGACCGGCAGGGGTCGTGAGCTGTTTGTACAATTCAAGCATTTCTGGGTTCAGTATTGCGGCTAAGTCAGCCTTCACTGTTCTTATGGCCTTATGCAGCGCCTCCGGGTCTATGGGTCTCAGCTCCGTAGACAGGGTATTCCAGTCAGGAAGCTGCAGAAGGAGGGCCTGAAGTACGGGAGAGAAGCAAGAAGACAAAATCGTCCTCAAGAGAAACCGAGAAGGCAACACAGCAGCAACATGCACAACTATGTTGCAACAGAGCTGGCTGCACCATGATCCAGCTCAGTCTCAGCGTGAACCGGTGAACATGGATCTAGTGCCAAACTGAACTAAACCAAAAATTTCATGGCCGCAGTTGTGGGCTCGCATCTGCTGTCTGCACGCCTGTCTGCCTGTGCGCTGCATCCGACCATCAAAATCGCCCATGCATTCACTTGTTGCTCCTGGTTTGAAAGAGCTGAGACCAGAAGAAAGAGTTTTGCATACGCGTGAAATGCATAGCCACCGGTGCTCTGACCAGGACAGAAACGGAACAGAAGGCAGAAAAAGTGTGGTCGTTACCTTCAATGCATTTTCAGTCGCCTTGTCCGTGAGAGTTGTTCTCAGTGCTTCCACGTAATCATCGGGAAGAGTTCCGAAAATATGAACGGTTCTATCTTCTGCGACGCTCTTAGCTCGAGAAATAACGATTGGCGTTGCCAGGGCCCTGGAGGAAAACCATCTCGTCACAGGGTCTGTGTCGTATGCCAGAAGAAATGCTTTTTCTTCGGCTGTCTGCAGAGGGTTTATCAAACGAACGGGCGCTGAGAAGCCCCGCAATATCGACGGCACGCAGTCTTCACGTACACCCCTGATCCGAAACGTCTGTTCCCCTTCGGTCATTTCCAACACCTGAAGAATGAAATAAACACAACGGTGGTGATAGTCACAAGGAACAAGATACGCCATAAGCACAGCAAAAAAGAAACGGGGGACAGAGAGGCATAATAAGCCCGCTGGAGGAACCGACAGATGTGACAGCTGCACCGGACAAGGGCAACAGAAACAGAGGGACGGGGAGATAATAACAAAGACATGAATGCGTAGAGAGGTAAAATACAACAAACGAACAATAGAACGCGTCCGTTTTACCAGCGAGGATTGCAGCAGGTCTTGGTGGGAGTCCTTCCCGATGAGGCCGATCTTGATAGGAATGAGTTGCGGCAGTTTGGTATCTTGCCCAGGGGTAGGGGGAGTATGTTGCCTGAAGCTTATCTCGAAGAGGTTAGAGCCTTCGTTGTACGCAGACCGCAGCACCTCCAGACGCGGAGTGCCCGCCTGCAGCCGAACAAGCAAGACACTTAAAACAAATCTGGCAACGAGGCTTGATGTAAACAATATCTTAAGCGAATGTTATATATATGAGGCATGCAGCCTACACGCTGCAGACTAGACGAACTCGAGCCCATGCAAACAGTGCGTGCACGATGAAGCCTTAGAAAATGACACAGGAAGCAGGGGAGGGAAGCCGGTTGACAGGAAAAAACGCAACTCAAAATGCATTAACCGTAAATACTGTAGGATAGTTCTGTGGCGTCGTTAATTCCCTGCTGCATCGACAAAAGGAAACACGGATTCAGCATTTTTCATTGCTCGTTTAAGCCTAAATTAAGTAAAGGGGCAGTCACAAGCGAACAAGCTTTCCGTTCCCGTGGCATTTTCTTCAGTTGATACTCAACACTGAACGACAGTTCACGGATACGGTTCACGGTTCATATGTATTACCTGACTGTACCAGCGGTCCATCTGGTCCAGGTCTACGTCATTTGCATCTTCCATTGCAGCCCGGAAGTCGTCGCATGTGGCCGCCTGATTATCGTGGCGTTCAAAGTACAGGTCCATGCCTTTGCGGAAACCGGCGGGGCCGAGCACTGTATGGTATCTGCACCAGCAAACAAACCGCAAGGGGAGGTAACGCTTTCTATGGAGTGACAGGAAGAAGAATATACTGCAGGGGTACCTGAGTTGAAATCCTGTGATGACAAATTCAACGTTAAAGACAGCCAGACGCACGACTGTTCCTAATGAGTTTAGGTACTGTTGCTGCGACAACGGCTACTTTTTGACCTCAACAGATCTCTCAGAAGGTCACGATAGACAATTTATTTGCACGCGCTGGGAAAGTAGATTCAGAAGGAATTGTTCTAAAAAAGTACAACCGCCTCACATGCGGACGACTTCTGCGCCCTTATCATAAACTGTGGCGGTGTAGAAGTTGTCCATAGCCACATAACTCTCCGGGCGGATCGGATGCGCCATAGGGCCGTCGTCTTCTGCAAATTGGCGCGAAATCAAATCAGCGACTTCTTTAATACGCTGCACTCCCGGGGACATAACAGTGCCCATGAACAGCTGCTCCCGAAACACCGTCAGGCCTTCCTTCAGTGTCAGCTGGAACCAATCCCTAAAACCAAAGCAGCGGGACAGACACCATAAAAACAGGGGAGCAAACACAGTTGTAGAAAATGATCACATGCTACAGAAGAACACTAACACAAACATCCATACGCCAATAAGCAAACGCTCTGCCACGCAGGCTGCCGCTGCAACTGTTGGTGCTGTTGCTTTTTGGCAATCGCAGACATCTCGGCTTCTGCTTCAAATGCGCTGAGCAAGCACTAAAACACATATCGGTACAACTGCGCATGCAGATATGAGGTGAAAACAACAAAGAAGGTAGGTACCGGACTGTCACGCGGTTGCCCGTCCAGTTGTGGAAGTATTCGTGCCCAACGACTGCAAGGACGCGTTCAAAGTCATCATCTGAAGCACAAAAACGTCGACACAAACCATTAGCCCTACATCTGGAGTGTGGATGAGCGTTTCAGCAGACAGGCGAATGAAGTGTGGCTTGTGCTCGAGGTGTGAACTCCGCAGCCGCTCCCAAGCATAACGCGAACTCCTGGTAGCTCCATCGCGATAAACGGGAACAATATGAGTAGCAGAGGCAGCTAGCGCATCTCTGCTGCAGCACCAACACCAGTACCAGCAGCAGCAGCGGCAGCAGCAGCAGCACCAACAACATTAGTGGAATGTGTGCTGACCTGTGCTCGTTCGCATATCTGCGAGTAGGAGAGTGCAATTGAAGATATTGAGGCCCTTGTTTTCCATGGCCCCGGCGTTGAAGTCAGAAACGCACGCCACGTTGAAAGTGTCCAGATCATATTCCTTCCCAAAAGCGTCTTCCTCCCATTTCATGCTCACTTTCACGCTGTGCATCGCCCAATTCAACTTCTGCAGCTGCGCCGGTTCGCTGTACACCGCAAGTGCAACTTCTTTGCCGCTCTGCAGCCGAGAAGAAACGAATGCACATTAATAAACAGTAGAAATAGGAGCAGGGGTGCAAACGTAGACAGTGTTGCAACTTCGCAGGCACTGCATACAGAAATGCTCCACACACGCACGCAGGGGCTACGTTAGAAAGCGTGGAGGATTTGTGGGTCGAACTTTGGTGGTAAATTTGTCCTCTATAGCAGCGAAATCTCCGGCCAAAATTGCGAAAAGATAACTTGGCTTGGGATGCGGGTCTGTGAAAACGGCGAAGTGACGGCTGGGCGAATCTTGCACAGGCCCTTCTTCTGTCTTGTCGCCGTTGCTTAGGAGGACAGGATACTTCACTTTGTCTGCTTCTAGCCGAACCTGCGAGTCAAGCATAAAACCAAAATAAGGATCAGTGTTCGGGGGCTCCTTTAGGCGAGAGCGAGAGGATTGTGTAGCGAACGAGCTGTGCATTCTCCAAAGCGAAGAAATACCGGAAATGAGTTACACTATAATATATATATATATA